TATGACTTCCATGTCGTTTCAAAGAGTCCAAGAGGTTCCTGTGCGTGGATTTTTAATTTTAATTTTTATTTTTTGAGTTGCAGAGTGTTAAACCCACTTATCATCACAATGGCACCAGTGGCACAAAATAAAAATAAAAAAAGATTGAAACGACTAGAGACCAAGTGAATTTCAAGTTTTATATACGACATTCCTTCTCTTAGAAGGTTTTCCCAATTATGTTCTCAAAAGGGCTAGCAGACCGTCACACATTGTGGTCTAACCACGTGTCTAGATAACCAACCCAGGTATTTCTACGTTCTCGTGCAATATGAATATACACTTTCATGTCGGCCATTGGCTCTTATATGGAGATCATACGGGTATCGACAAGCATTGTTTGATTGGTTAATTCGTTTTTTTTTTTGTTTTTGTTTTTTTTACGGCTTATCAACTCTTTGCAGAGTATTAAAGGCCTTTTGACAAGTTTTATATATAAGAGCCCATTGTTAAATATCATATCATATATATATATATATATATATATATATATATATATATATATATATATATATACTAATTTATTTGATTTAAAATATGTTTTTTCACACACAGTTCTAATAGGGTTTCTAAAATGGAAGCTAAAAGCTTCGGATTTAATTTTGTAATTAAATTAGATGTTAGTTCCATTTTCATCCTCAAGCGAATATATATATATATATATTATTCTTTATTTTAGGATATTATATTATTTTTTAGAATATTGCATTAGTTTGTATTGAGCCCGCTTTATATGTTACGAACGTTGGAATATTCTATTCGTTCTCATTTTAGACACACACACACGTGCGTATATATATATATATATATATATATATATATATATATATATATATATATATGTATGGTTGACTCTTCCTTCGTATTCGACGTATGAGGATCAAGCAGCTCAGTTCCTAGGAATCAACAGCCTAGACACCAGCACATATGATTTGATTATAGTGACCAGTTGCCATCCAAGGCTATAGAACCCAGTCTGTCCTGCTAATTACACCCATAGGTGGAGGGAAAAAAGTGGATTCATACTTTTCCCGATGGTATTAGCAATAAGTCTATGTAATGGATTCGACCGGAATTCGAATTCGGCTCTCATCCCTTAATAATATATATATATATATATATATATATATATATATATATATATATATATATATATATATATATATGTATGTAATATGTATTCGTGTGTGTCTGTGTGCGTGTTTGTGTGTGTGCCGAATCCACCGACCGATAAACGTTATAAACTGTTTAAAACAAAATATGAAATAAAACAATAACAATGGATCGTCAGTTTCAAATACGAGTATCCCCTATAATAAGGGTTGAAGTAATAAAAACGTCGGATTAAAAATAAATTCCTTAATTCTTTCGAAATATTTATATTTTATTTGCTAAGTGTATTAGAGCGAAGTAAATAAAAACAAGTGGAATTCTAAATCGCTTCACCGATGCGTCTCCACTCATACCGCACCCATACATACATACATACATACATACATACAGGTAGATACACAGATAGACATACAGATAGATAATGGATATCTATATATATATATATATATATATATATATATATAGAATAGATAGATAGATAGATAGATAGATAGAAATTAAGCTAGATTGATAGATAATGAAGATAAAAAGAATGTGTATATATATATATATATATATATATAGATAGATAGATAGATAGATAGATAGATAGAGAGAAAGAGAGAGAGAGATTAAAAGATGGTGAGAAGAGAGAAAACATACACGATTGTACGCGTAGTAGCCGTCTAAAATAACATACCATTAAAAATGTATACATAATATTGGATTATTATATTTATTTTATACTTAGAAACCTGTATCGTAACAATTATATATATGTGTGTGTATGTGTGCGCGCGCATGTGTGCATGTGTGTGTGCGTGTTTTTTTTTTGTTTTTTGTGTGTGTGTGTGTGTGTGTGTGTGTGTGTGTGTGTGTGTGTGTGTGTGTGTGTGTTGCTGCTGAAAGATTCAAAGCTCAACTCTTTCAAAATATGACCAAATGTACGGACACCAAATTTTGGATGGAAATCCTTTCTTGTTCAGACACCCCATCGTATATACATGGAGTTTATCACACAGAGACACACCAACAAGTATTTCTCTGTTTACGTAGTCACACAAACACAAACTCACACATACACACACACACAAAGGCATATATATATATATATATATATATATATATATATATATATATATATTAATGGTGTGTGTGTGTGTGTGTGTGTGTAAAAAGAAACCACGTTAAATTGAGAAAAAAAGATATCGGCATCGATATTCAGAGAACTTAGAATAATTACTCGGTTACTTATTTAGTTACAATTATTGCCACGCACCGCAAACAAGTCAGTGCATCATTTAAGCCAATTAACTGTAAATAGTAGTTTCTTTTAGCCATCTTCCATTTATTGGCAACTAATTCTGTCTTTCTTTTTTCCATTTATATAAGTTACGAAGAAACTGTTCTAATAACATTGTTAATCGAAATAAGTGCTACGTAATTTGTCGCAATTTAGTTATCTGTATCTATCTATCTATATATATATATATATATATATATATA